TGATTTGAATAAATTTTTTCGTATTTTAAATATTAAGTTATTTTTTAATGGAGTATTTTTCACTGTGTTTTCCTCTCTCACCTGTAAACCATCTCTCTCTCCCCTACCCCACCCCCCTAAGACCCTCCCCAATTCACGCTAATCTCCTCCCTCGTGTTTCCCCTGATTCCCTCAAAACCCACGCTCACCCTCACTCTCTCGCTCTCTTCCCCCACGAGATTCTCTCTCACATCCTCAAAAATCCCCCATGCTCAGATCTCTCTCTCACTCTCATTTTTCTGTCTCTCTCTCACTCACTCTCACATCTCTATCTCTCTCTCCTCATCCTCACTCTCTCTCCTCTTCATCTCTCCCATCACCACCGCCACCACCGAAATCGACAACCGCCCGAACCCAAGCTTCGTGCCTAGCTCGAACCACCTACGCCTCCCAACCTCGCATCAACCCTCAGCTCCGCCCCGCGTGAGCGCCGTCTCAGCCCCCTCCCCACTCAACCACGCCGCCCTAAGTTCGCTGTCACCCCTCCTCTTTCTTCCACCGCTCGCCCAGCTCCTTGTCACTCTTCCCCTGCTCGCCGTGCCTGCAAGCTCTCGAACGTCGACACCGCCCAGCTCTCTCTTTTCGCCGTCGCGAGCTCGCAGCCCTCCATCAGCTCTAGCCGCCGCCCACCCCTCTCGTAATCGTCGTCTCCGCCAAAGCCGCCATCCCTCCTCCTCCTCGCATGCTCAGCCCTCTGCCTGCGCTGCTACCCAGTCGACCAAACCGCCGCCTCCCTAGCACAAAGCCTGGAGCTTGAAGTCCCCTCATCTCTCAAGCGCCCCTTGTCGGTCGCTCGTTCGTCGTGCCCCAGCTGCCGACCCATGCATGCTCCGCCGCTTCTTCCTGAGCTCCCTCGACCCAGACCCCGCCACCGTCGCTCGCTCCCTTCAGATCTGTCATGCCACATCCCAACGACACTCGTAGGCAAGATCCCTCTTGCTCATTGACTTGTCATTTTAATATTCATATCCGTTATTTTTTATTACATAGATTAGTTGTGATATAATTATTTGTGTGGGATTGTTTGATAAAGAATATTAAATATATCATAGTAATATGATAAATAGCATTTTCAGAATAATTATAATAAATTAAAAGAATTTAGTTTGGCAAAAGAATCATTTTTAGATAATTATAATAATTTAAAGGAATTTATTTTGGAAAATAAATTATTTTAGATTAATTGTTAAGAGAAATAATTTAAAATAAATTAATTTAGAAAAAAGATTATTTTCTGAATTATGTAGACGTTGTTTATGATTTATAATTCTTAATTTTGATTATTTGATATGCCATGACATTATTGCACATGAATAATTATATTGGTTGTTCTTTGTTGTGATTGAGAATCGTTAGGAGTTTATGACTATAGTGACTTGTGTGACATGAATAAGACCTAGAGGCTTGTGTGTTGTTGACTTAGAAATACAGGAGATGTTGGGGTGGGAAAGACTCTATTCATGTAATCGGATAAGGCTGTTGATATATCTTCCAGGCTCGCACCAGTGGATCAGTGTCGCCACTAGGTTGGTTTGTTGGGTCAAAGTAGATCGGTGTCGCTACTTTGGTCCGCGAATTTTATATTCATCCAAGTCGGCTTGAGTTCGGACCAGGTCGAAGTTGGATTGCGTATAGTACTACTGGATGTACGTAGGGGAGTTCTGAACAGTCAGTTATCCTATAATATAAACGTTGATTCTGTGTGAGATGTGAACTAGTGACCTGTTATAGGATGGCTAGTTACATGACATCGTTACTTGGATGATTACGAGTTGTTGTGAGATACGGACCCATTATATTTCTTTTCATACATAGATCAGGATTAATATTTAATTATCTACAATTTGAGATATAAAGTATATACATGAGGATTTTCTTGTTTGGATTATTTCGCTCGACATACTACGTCTCGAGTTGTAGATTTTTAAGCATTAATCTCATCTAGTTGTATGATCATGTTACTTGGATAATTTTTCTGATCGCTAGCTGCATGACCTTGTTACCCGATTGATTTTTTGATTACTCTGAATGTTATATGAGTGAATTGCATTTAGATTATTAGAATTCTAGTGCCATGCTTCTATTATTATTACTATTATTGCATTGGTCGTTTTCTATTCTTTCTTGTGGGATCTTGCTGTGTGCCATGCACGCTGATGTACTCATATTCTCTCGGGTTGTACGTCAGATGTAGAAGACGGACAGCTTCAGTTCGTAGTCGTACATGAGCCATAGGATCCTCCGCAGGAGTGCTTGTAGATCGAGCAGAAGAAGCCGAAGCCTAGTCACTTCTTTTATCAGCTGTTGATCATTTGTTTACTTTTATAGCACTTTTCATTTCCGCCTGATCGTTGTATTTTATATTTTCCAGCATTCAGATCGCTTTGTATAAGGGCATGTTTGGCCCGATTATTATGTCTGGATGATTATTTCAGTTGTGATATCTATCTTTTGGTTCTGAGTTGTTTATTATATTCTTGCTACTGTGATCGGGGACCTGTGACTTCGCTTTATATTGCTTGACGCTTAGCGTATTAGATTGAGTAGAAGGTCTAATACATTTCTCTTTAGTCTAATATGTCGAGGGCTTGTTCACGTTCCAATTCCCCGGTATTGTTGGGAAGCGGGGCGTGACAAAAGGTCAAGCTATTGTTGACTAAAAGTACTTATCATGATGCTTTGAAAACACTTTTGGAGAAAAACAACATGATGTTTTGAAAACGCACAAAAATCACTATGGTATCCAAACATACCTGCGATAACTTAGTCAAATTATGATCATAACTCTAGGCCTCGGCTCAGGACCTGTATTTGTGTCTATGGATTACATATGTTCTCCAATTAACAAGTTAATTCTTAACATTATTTGGGATGTTGAGAACATTCAAGAATGATTCAAAAGTCACACCTATGTTTCACACAGTTTGAAGAGATGTATATACCCTTGTCTCAATCACTCTTTGAGGGGATGCATGTAAGGGTGGCAAACGGGTAGGGTCAGGTCGGGTCGGATCGGGTCGGGTCATAGTTGACCCGACCCGTATAAGTGTGACACGGCCCGACCCGTTTAATAAATGGGTCAATGCGATCTGACCCGTTTATTAAACGGGTTACCCGACCCGACCCATATAAAAAATATCAAGCTTACTCTTTCTTTCACAAAAAATTTTGATGGAATTAATCTGATATGTGCTCGGATTCTAACCCCGACCATTTTAAAACTGTAATTTCACAAAATGCAACCTAAACAGTCAGAACCTGAAGCACAAAAGTCAAGAGGCCCAAGCCTGGATCGATCACAAAAACCACTACAGATAAGACTAAAATAATAACTTAAAACAAAACGCTCGATAATAATAATAATAATAATCGTTGATGAAGCCTCTAACTCCAACAGAAGAAAAGATTACATCTTTCACAAATTTACACAAAATTTCTGAAAGGAAAACCTAAATACTAACCATCTTCTTCTTCTGTCTCTGCATGGTCCTGATTGGATTTAAAGCCTTAGCTGCGAGAATGGTGTCGTTCTGGAACTGCATCAAAGTCGGCCTCTTCGACTTCCGATCGGTGGTCACGTGATGGCAACGGGGGCGGGATCTGAGGTGATGAGATCCTTGAGCGTCGTCCCAGCAGAGTCCGCCATGGCTGAGCTCGAGCAGGAGCTAGACATTATTAGGCTCCGATGACCAGACCGGAAGTCGAATATCTAAGCGTGGTGCTTTTTTTCGGAGCCGATTTGGTATAGGGGTCAAGCGGGTCAGGCGGGTCAACCTGTTTAATAAATGAGTAACTTTGGGTTGACCCGTTTATGACGCGACCCATATAATTCAACCCATACCCATTATAAATCGGTCGGGTTGATAGGTCGGGTCATAAATTGCCACCTCCAGATCCATGTACCCTCGTCTCATTCACTCTTTTGAGATGCATCTATGCTTGTCTCGATCACACTTTGAGGAGATGTATTTCGCTCTTAAAATTAAACAAGGATGGAATTTGCTTTGAAAGCAATCAAGAAATGCCGTTTGGCCAATCTAAACTTGGAGAGAGATCACGCTCTTTAGAAGTCAAATAAATCTTTAACATGGGTTGAAAACCACTTTGTTCAACAACTTAAGCTATTAGTTATCAGTTCTAAATTTCCAGTTGAATCTGTTATTATTTTCAACCTTTTCAATATTGGAACATACTAACATATGAATTACCAACAACCTCCGGTTTCATTTGTAGTATACTCCAGTCACCTACATGAAACCATGACATCTACAACATGCAATCTTGGGCATTCATACATTATCTGTGTTATTACATGCGGGTTTGACCTGAAAATGCTCTAGTTGGATGTGTGCAATTTGGAGAATCAGGAAAAAGGATAAGTGGATGTTTGCAATTCAGAAAATCAGCGAAAAGCATAAGTCTGAGGTGTTATTGCTCGAGAACCTTTGCTGTTTACACAGCATACAACATGCACAACGAACATCCGGGTAACGCTATTACACACAATTGAAGGCATTGGCGGTACAAGGTATGGACACTATCCAGTGTAAATTTCTTTAAATAGAGTTTACAGGATTCCTATGACAAGCGTGGCAAGGAACCAAAAATCAGCAACACGGTGCAAGAGCAAGACAAAACATTAGATATCATTGAGAAACAACTCCTCAAAGAAGAATAATTAAACGACTTGAGCATGTCAGAGATTAGACTAAACAAGAAATTGTACAAGGTCCGTGACACCGGGCCTATTTGGCAAACTCCACAAAACCGGGCTAAGATTGATCCTAACATTGGCTCTTTTTTGAACCAAGGGAAAAGTGGTTCTTTATAAATAAATAAAAAAGGTTAAGGCCCTTCTTCCACTTGCGAAAAACATGGCCAATTCTTGGCCTATTTGTAAGAGTTTGCCAAACACAAAGATCTTTACCACAAGAAAAAGGAGAGAAGAGAAGAAAACCCTGTAAACAACAAAGTTTTCTTTAAGTTTTAACACCATCTACTCGCAAAAAATGCTACATACAACAAAATTTGCATTCCACTTTTTAGCAAACCAAACAGTTTCCTAATGATGCATTTTCAGCCATAATGTACAAAATCATCAAGTGCGTGCCCTTCGAGCAAAAGAGGAAGTTTGGTAACCTTACACGCCAGTAACAAGGGCAAGAGTTCGGATTTGCTCAAAAACTAAAATACCATAATTTGAATCTCTTTAACTAGGTCATGATGTTGTAGTTCCAATAGGACATCATTTCCCTCTGTGCAAAACCATCAGGTGCTTCTTCAGCTACAATGAATGCTCAAACTAGTGGGACTCCTCTCAAAGATTATCAAGATCAATCATCAGTTCACTGTTCCAATAGATATCCGAGGAATCCTTGGCAGAAGATGCAGAAAGATCACACTCAAGTTCAGTCTCAGCCAAGGCAGCCTCCAAAGAATTGGCCAAGCCTGCCTCCCAAAGCCCCGACTTGCAAACTTTCTTGTAAGCTTCGTATCCTGCTAATTTTAGATCAATGGAGATCATTTCTCCTGATTCCATCACTTTGAGTAAAGCTTGAGCAGCACCTGAGCTCCAAAAAACAATAACTGAACATGCTTTATCTACAAGTCGCAAGTCAAAGTCTTCAGAGAACACAGGATGGATTCCCTTGAGGTGGGATTTTAACTCAGAAGCACTAATTCTATCGCCAAAACCCCACAAGAAAACTATGTTATCGGTGCTCACTTTCCTCCTGTTTTTATTCATTGAGAGAATGACATTCTCATTGTCCCCAGACTCTTGGAAACTAGTGTAAGTAGGATGAAAGATATTTGTGTAATCTTCAATTGACCTATGCTGCTCTTCATATGGCTCTTGACGCTCAGAAGATAATTTTAGCAAATTGTAGAGCTTGGAAAATAAGGTTGTAATTCTGAGGACATTGTGTCCGTGATCTTTCTCAGTTTTCACATCAGCTGTTAAGATAATGATGTAAATAGGATTTAATAAATTAAAATTCTAAGAAGAAACGGGTATTAGAGGGGGAAAAAATACCTTGATGAGGGATTTCAAATTCTATGGGCACAAAGAACTGCCTCTTCAAGTAACTAAGAGTAGCTGGCAGATTCTTTGCTTTTCTCAAAGGCCCAACTTCTTTGCATAGATGGTTCACATCGAGTATATTAGGGAAGACCAATCTCAAAGAGCACATGAATTCCGACAGGCTTGGTGGCAGGGGAGCAAGGAATTTCGAGTGGATAAATGTAAAATCTATACCACAAAATTCCACGTGTATATGAATTAAAAACAAGCATAAAGCAGACATGATTCAAGATTATTGAAAATGTAAATTTGAGAAAATTCCCCTGGATTTTAAGGGGTTTTGCACAAACCCTCCCGAACTTCATAAGAAAACCACCCCTAACTTATCTCACTCTAGTATCTGAATGACACCTCTTTTACTATCTACTGAAAACATCATTTTCTTCCACATCCCCCACCTCATTGTCTTCTTCTACCATCTCCTCCATCTTGATCAAAAAAGTTGCACATTCTCCTTCCTCCACCTTATGGGCGAAACTATTTCCATGAAAGTAATATGACTTCTTCCTCCTCGTCCTTGAACAAACTATAGTTTATCATATAATTCGTATGTATAATCTTATCACTCCTCCACATCTTCTTCCATCTCGTTGGTGGAACAACCAGTCAAAATTATGCACACAATCATGAGACTTCTTACTAATCCTCTCCGTTATTTCATCATCTGTTCTTTTACTAATATTAGGATCTTTTTATTGATAAACTGCACCTGACATAAGTCGAATAGATTCAATAATTTCCAAAAGATTTTTTGATGAAGTTTTTTCTGTAAATTATTGAATCTCTCCGATGTATGGAAGGTGCAGTTTATCAATGAAAAGATGCTGCTGATATTAGTAAAAGAGCAGATAGCGAAATAATCAGTGAAGTTAGATGATCATATGAATTATTTTGACAGGTTATTCCACTGGTGGAAGAAGGTAATGTCGAGTAGGCAAAAGATTATACGTATGACTTATGAGAAAGTATAGTTTGTCCAAGAAGAAAGAGAACAATTATATAACTTTTATGAGAAACCGTTACGTCAAGGAGGAAGAAGAACATGATTTTTTTGGCCTAGATGGAAGAGGTAGTGGAAGAAGACAACGAGGTGGAGGATGTGGAATAAGACAATGTACTTCAATAAATAGGTAAACTTGTTTATGAGAATTGTGAATGCTCCTGATGGATTTTGTTTATCTTTGAAAGTCACTGGGGGTTCACGATTTATAAAGTTAATGGTATTT